CTCTGCTGTAGTCTTGGCGCACCAAATTGGCTTCGTTGCTCGTGCTGGCGTCTTCTTTCAATGTCCGCTGTTCTTCTAATTTCAACCTGGATTGCGAGCTCAAATAACTTTTCCAATGTCATTGGATTCCTTAATTCAATGAAGTCTTGTACTTGGGGAAGTAACCTAGGCAAAATTACTTGGATTATTTCAGGATCTGGCCTGCTTCCATACAAAAGTTTAAAGACGTGTATTTTTCTTAAAATAAAGCTTGAGAGATTTTCAATTCATTGCTGGTATGGGCTGAAGCGTTCCACCTCCAATTTGGCACGATTTCTTACGACAGGGAAGGCCTTTACCAAAGCGGTCTTGAAATTTTCGTAAGTGGGACTTCCCACTTGACCCAAGAGGTTCCTACCAATACATTTGAGCCAAGTAAGCGCTTGGCCCCTCAAAGCGCTGGTAGCTGACTTTCTGAATATCATGGACTGGATATAGCATGAAGTGGTCATCCAATTTTTCCAAAAAATTAGTCACCAGTGAGTTTCCGTCGAAGCTTGCTGCTGGTTTCATCGATGCATGCATGGTCTGGACGATGTAGCCAAATCCTTCCAGGGCGGCAGCTGGCATTTCTGGATTCTGAGCCGCTGCTGCAGGCTTCTCAGCTTCTTGAAACTCGGCCATGGTTATTCTTCTTCGGGCGCCACTGTCAGAAGATGTATGTCTTTTCACTTGTTTCGGGAACATACTGTATCCTGAATAAGAAGAGTTAACTTAAAAAAGCTCTGTTCCAGATTGCGTGGAATAGACGACACAAGCAGGAAGGGTATACGAAACCCCTTATTCTCTATTACTTTACAGGTATTCCCAAATTTCGGGATACATAGACCAACCACTTGTGGTCTGAACGTAAAAATATAAAACTATTAACTAAAACTCTAACTAAAAGCTAAATTTGAATTAGTATACAAATGCCTAACACTAAGACTGGCCTTTATTTAAAAGGGTACGTATGTAGTACGCCAAGCTGCTGAAACTACAATACGTTTACAGTTATCAAGAGGGCTAAACCTCTGGCCGTAAAGGCAACCAGCAACTGAATGAAAACTCGTAAAAACTGCAGTGGCAAGCGGCTTGCTTCCTAAATCTCCTTTTGTCTCTCACTCTTGGCAAAAAGCCACAACTTAAATACGAGGGTTGGAACTTTAATAGTGGCAACACAGCTGAAAAAAGGCTACACGACAAAACCAAAGTATATCGCGTATACCACACGTGAACTACATACCTACCTTACCTCTCAGCAAAAAGAATCGTCCTGCCTACGTCTCGCGCATGCGGAGTGACGCGAAGAACGGATCCTTGTATTAGCTTGCGGTCTAAAGTAAGTGTTGTCAGGATGTTTTCAAAAGAAGAACAACGATGTTGGATAAAAATTGAATGTGCCAGAGGTCGTACAGCACGACAGTGTCATCAAGGGCTTCAAGAGGCTTGCGGGGAATCAGCATTGCCTTACAGAACCGTAGCAAGATGGGTGAAAGCATTCAATGAAGGACGCCAAAACGTGGCAGACATGCTGCGGCCAGGTCGTCCGAGTGTGAGCGATGCAGACGTGCAAGCTGTTGCCGCACTAATGGACAGTGATCGCCACCAAACGATTCGTTAGCTGGCCGGACAAACAGGATTAGCGCATACGACTGTGCTGCACGTTCTGAAGGAATGCCTGTCCATGAGAAAAATTGCTTCACGATGGGTTCCACATCAGTTGACGGAAATGCAGAAATGGCTACGATACGATGCTGCCTGAACCCACCTGGAGTGCTATGAGTGCAAAGGAGATGCTTTTTTACGCTGTATCGTTACGCTGGATGAGACTTGGGCCCGATCGTACCAGCCAGAACTAAAACGCCAATCAAACAAATTGCGTCATCATGGGTCACCACGACGTTCGAAATTTCGTCAGAACCCCAGCAATGTGAAAGTTATGGTGATTCTCGTGTACGATTGTGATGGTGTCATCCTAACGCATACCGTTCCTCCACAGCAGACCGTCACTGCGCAGTATTACTGCTCATTTTTGAAGCACGATCTCCGACCAGTTTTGAGAAAAAAACGGCGACATTTTCTGTAGAACGCTCCTTTCATTTTGCAGGAGAATGCTTGGCCACATGCAGCGCAAGCTGTGACTGATTTGTTCAAGCGATGGGGCTGGGAAGTGCTATACCATCCACCATACTCCCCAGATCTAAGCCTTTGTGATTATGACTTAATTCCTAAGATGAAGGAACCACTTCGTGGCACTCACTTTCAGACTGTTCCCGAGATTCTTGCGGCAGTAGACCGGTTCATTTAAACTATCAACAAAACAGGTGCTGCTACAGGTATTCTACGACTTCCACATCGTTGGAAATGGGTTGTACACAATGCTGGCAACTATATTGAAGGACTGTAAAACATGGTGACATGAATCACTTTTGTATTCCTTGTAAATAAATAGTTGCCACTATTAAAGTTCGAACCCTCGTACTTGGGTGTTAGCAAGACAATTTGCATAAACAAGTTAAAGCATTTAATTGTGACTGGAAGTAGAAAATAAGAAGTGATAGTACAGTTTTAAAATAAAATAAATGTTAGTAAAACTTAGGATCCTTACAGCCTTACCAAAATGTCGCCAAACTACCTGTTACCACATTCCAAAGATTAGCCAAAATCAAATACTTACACAAACTCGGTGTCCATATATACATCAACCTATTTTAAGTGTAAAAAAAATCGTCAGAGAACTGCACAAACTAGGAATACTTTGTCCTAACCGCACTGTCTTAACTTTGTCCATGTACATATCGATCTATTTTCACTTAAACAAAATGAGGAAGCTAAAACAAAGTTAAAAGTGTCATGGTAACCAGAAAAAATTCGGCGCTGTCTTAACACACAGAGACGAACAAGTAACAAAAATACAAAAACAGAGAGGAATAAATAGCCAAAAATACATATTTCCTAACATAAAAACATTAAATAACAAATCTTTTAACAAAAATTAACACACAGAGACAAATAAATAAATGAAACATTAAGTTTTTAATATACCTTTTTTTCATGTGCGTATGTTTAGGCTTCCTACTACCATCTCCTCCATCCTCCGGGTAAGCAATTCAATTAAATTTTTCGTCGTTTCGTTTCATTCATATCTATTGGCAATTAAATCAGCTTTCATGCAAAAATCAAATGTCTTTCATCCATCATCCAACTCGTACAAAAACCTAACAGCTGTAGTGACTTGTAATTATTTGTCATTGCATTATCGCTGCGATATTTGAATTTGTTACATGATAACTATGTTACGACATGTTACTGAACCAGCTTAGATTAAAATTAAATTGTGTAGTCTTTGACTACTAGTCCACTTTGAATTTGACTGTTCCTGTTTAATTGAATCACCAAAAGCTGTAGTTGATTTTGCTAGCATAAGAACATGCCTTTATGTTCTAAGGTCTTTTTAAATTAGAGGCTTATTTAAACCTTTATCTTACTTTGTAGTTACTTTCAGACATAGTGATAATTTGCTTCTCATCTGTCAGGGGTTTTGAACTATTTAACTTCTATCAGATCAAATAAAACCTCATAGGTGCATAGTGGAGAGATTGACAAGTTAAGAGATAAAATACAGAGAAACTAGTAGGAGTATTGGTTTGCATATTGACCCACCAGTGGGTCATGCTTGATTGTTCCGTAGGCTGGGATGACCTCGCTGATGTGTCACACTTGTATATAAAAAAATACGTAGTACAAAATTTAAGTTATTTTAATTATTCAACAGTATACATTTCAACATTATAATCAAACATTTAATATAAAACAAATAACTTAGATAGTAGGTATTACTGTACAAGAATTGAAAGTATAATTTGGCGCTGTGTTTCTCCACAAAACGGACCACTAATTGTAGCACCGCTGCACGAAAAGAAAATTAATATCTGCGTTGCTGTCAATGTGTTAAGATGGTTACCTACTGTGATAGTTACCTTGCATTGTGTTCTCATTTTGATTCAAACCTAATAATTTTCTGTTCAAAGTTTGATTCTTTTAAACCTCATAACACTCATTAATGAGTAACATTGGCACTGGCAGCTCATATATTTGCTCATATCTGAGTATGACTTGGCTGGTTTTAAAATTATTGTTGCTAAATGTGTATGTCAGTGAGTGTTGTTAGGACATCTGCTAAGTGTTTCTTTATGCTTGTTAAAATCTGCTGAAAGTTTTCTTCTCAAAACCAAGCCTACACACTTGTCTTTAAATCAAGAAATATTCAAATTTTATGTATTTTCATTAAAAAAAGTGTTCTGGACCATTTGATTGGGGAAAAATTGAGCATTAAGGAATTGATTTTCATTATTGCATAATCCAAGCATTAAGTGATAGTAGTGAAACATTTTTTAAAATGAACAAAATAGTAGAAAACAAATCACTAAAAGCCACAAATTGGTTTCGAAAATTTAGAAAAATTTGGAAAAAGGAAATTTAGGAACAAATTGCAATTCTGCATTATATCTCATTTTTGCTGATTTTGGGGGGGGGGGTATTTTAAAATCAGAAGAATGTGATAGTTCATAATTTTTCCTATGTATGAAGTTTTTTTTAAAAGTTATGATTTGCACATGATTTTATCTCTAATAAACATTAAACATAAAATTGGTACTTTTCCTTTATTTGCTCTCAGTATTGTAAAAACAAATAACATGATATAACAATGCATAATAATTATAATAAGACAATGTGAAAAATAAATTTAATTATAAAAAAAGTAGAAGGGGGTGTTTTTGTGTCAGTTAGTGTTTATTTCACGTGCAAACTGCCTGTTGCCTCTATAATGGAATCAACATAATTTCTTTTGCTCACTTGTTTGCTTCTTTCTCCAAATAAATTCCGACAGATATGATATGAGAAGTTGTCTTACAGTCTAAATGGAATAAAATAAGTAAATAAACTAAATCAAGAATAAAAATGGCTGCCAAAACATAATGAGGTACGACTGCCAGATTTGTGGACAGATAAAGAAAAAGTACCATAAAATCGTATGCAATTTGCATGTGATTGTGTTTGCCTGTAACTGCAATGTTTGTGAACAAACATTGAAACGTGAAAACAAATCAGTAGAAGCCACGAGTATGGGAAAGTTTGGAAGATTCTGTGATGCTCTCTTAAATCTAATTGTTAGAAATATTTATTTGAAGGGGGGGGAAGAAAATTTTATAGAAAATATTTGGTAGTTTGAAATTTTTCCTATGCTTGAAATTTTATGAAAATTGTGAGTTGTGTGAAGTTTTCTTTTATTAACATTATTTATTTTGCTATTATGAAATAAATATTTAATGCTTTAGGATTTAGTAACTTATGTATATAAATAATGATTTTATTTTTGTAAATAGAACGGCAGCAATTCCAGTATGAAAAAGAAGTTACTGCAGTGCAGCGTCAGTTGCAAGAAAGTACTGACTCATGTACAAAGTTAAAGTTACAGATAAGCGAATTTGGTAAAGTTTCATTTTGTCTTGCATCTACTTAAGTGGAAAATTAGCGCATAATTTATTTATACATGTTAACAAAAATTACCGAAATTTAAACTGTATTTTTTTAACTTAGAATTTTTACCAAAAAATTTGTTTTTGAAATTCATTCATGTTTGATATCTTTAAAACAATGTATGAAACTGTAATTTTTAGTATGTGGAAAAATCAAATTGCTGGTATTTTATTTTATAAGCTCTCCCAATAGATTGATTATTACTTTTTTGATTCCAAAATTGATTATAGTAATTTAAAGTATATTAAAAAGTTTTAATTATCTTTATCTTTAAAAAAGTTCATAATGCCATTCTCTTATGAGTTAGAAGTATTCTGGGAAGGGAGCTATATTTATTTCTTGTATGAAAAAAAAAATATTGTAATTTTATAATAATAAAAAATGTGGTACTTTTGTGTTACCACAGCCAGTTTAGTAGAAGTTGCCAAATTTTCGAAATGTGCCGAACTCTGGCAACTATGCGCATAACCATTCTTCAGGCAACTACTGTGTTCATAACAATTCTTTACTTAAGCAACATCACTATTTTCGTCTGTATTCTTTTTGTTATATTCTATGTTCCAATGGTTTTTATGAATAAATGATTATATTTTGTGTTTTGAACTTAATTTTAAACTGTATGTTTGTGAAATTTTCAGCAATGAATGAAATAATGTATCATGTAATCCTTATTCAGTAATACCTTTTCATCTGCAAAAATTGTGTCAAGGTGTTTGTGTTAATTCATAAGTACTCAAAATATATGTGACATAATTTTACAGTTACAGTTTTACTTAAAGTAGGACAACTTATATATTGTTATTGTTGTTTAATTATTATAAGCCTTTCTTATAGCAACAATTTATTTTTTTAATTTTGTTTGTAATATGTGGCTTAGAGTTCTGCACTGATTTTAAGTGGCAAATCTACTGGAAATATTAATATTATCCAATGACTTATCATGCCATCTACATTTTAAAATGACAAGAATTATGAATTCAAAGTGAAGATTTAAAATAACACTTATGTTTGTCAGTCTGATGGTTGCAAAACATAAAAATGTAACAGAAATAACTTTGTGCACTTATGGGCAATTTAGAACATCTATTTAAATTGGATCAAGCAGTGAAACACAAATTAACATGATCTAATAAATCTTAGCTCAATTTAAAGTATTTTCAAAATACACACGGCTTGCTTAAGCTCTAAAGTGAAATTTAACCAACAGGGAAGAATAGCAGAGTGGTGGTCAACCTGTGTTGCTCAGGGTAGCAATGAGCTACACAGGCTGAACTCAAGAATTTTCTTCATATTTACAGTGGTTCAGAATAAAAGTCAGACACTTGTGTTCTTAACATTTTATAAAAGGAATGTTCAATACAAAGAATAATTTATATAAAATGCCTTAACAAATCAACGATAAATAAATCGACTTATCATAAACAAAAGGGAAGGTAATAAAAGGTTATGATTTTGGTTATAAAAGGTTTTAATAATTGGAAATTTTATAATCTCCCAATTAATATATTTATTATGTTATTAGTTTTGAGATTTATCTAATTTAAAACACAAAAATTTCAAACTTATTTATGATTTTCCTGTTGTCAGTATTGAGATATTGCTTTAATTTGTTCTTTGCAGCCTAATTTTAGTTTTGATGATTAAGAATGTAAAAACCATCTGGACAAATTTCTCTGGAAATTCATGAGCTTATAATAAATTTTTTTTGGAATTAGGTTGTAAGATATATTGCAAAAAGTAAAACAAAGTTATTCAGCAGGATATGACATAATCACATGATTTAAGACAAGAGACACCATCAAAAATAAATCAAACCAAGCAAATACATGATTTTTACTGATTCTGCAGAATGTTGGAATTGTACAAGAAGAAACCCAAATTACATTCTCCCAAATTGTCTATGGAAGCAGGAAAGCAATTCAGAAAAAGAGATAGTCCAAGAATAATAACTCACTCGTATGTAAAATTAAGAGAATTTGAAAATTATATCTATTTTTATCAAAAGTATTGAACCTAAGGTACTAATTATGCCACTGAAGAATTGTTTAAATGTTCTTTAGCAGCATAAATCAGGGGGCAAGTTGGAAGTTGAATACATAACTATACATGTGCGTGCCTATTGAACTGTGATCATGGAAGGGATAGAAGCATGTAAGAGGTTTTCAGCGATTTGTATGTTTGTACTTTTTCAGGATATTCACAATGTTTCTTGCAAGAGTTGGGTAAATTTTGTAAGGTATCAGATAACATGAGTAGCCGTGAATATATGGACAACGAAATGCTATGTAGGCATTTAGGGTTGTAGACATGTAGGCTGGTAGATTGTAGGCAGACCAGTCACAAGTACAGGTGGCTACAGATCTCAGTATAATATCCAGTGTTATCTGCAAGTTTGTGGGAACAGTTTCAGATCACTGTATCCATACTAAAGAGGCCTGGACAAAGTCACTAAGATTCCTCCTTTAAGAAGAAAGAGAAAAAATGTATCTGCAACATATTTTTGTGTGATTGTGAAAATTATATAAAATGGCCTAACTGAGGGACAGGGAATCAATTTTGAAAGCAACCTGCCTGTCAGCAAGGGGTGACTGGTCTTCTAACTCAAGTACAAGAGGAAGATTTATGTCACCAACAACATAATTCCCAGGTTCCAAGTATTTTCCCATATTGAAAATTGCATGGACTGTAATTTTTCTTTAAAGAGGTTTTTTTTTTTTTTTCTTTAGCATAAATATTTTATTAAGTCATTCAAGGTCTGAATAATGATAATATTCTATAAGGTATAGCTAATCTTCTGAGACAATGAATCACAGCTGTTGTTACAAAACAATGGGGTTAGAAGCAACAGAAAGGAATGTCAACAGAAACTGCCTCAAGTAAAGTTAACCTGATGGGAAAAAATAAGGAAAATTACTTGGATGATTAGTGTGCAGCAAACAGTTTCAAATCAATTAAATTATTGTATGTATAATATAATTTAAGAAATTAAACTAAAACATGTCATAATAAAATGTGTCATAATAAAGAAACATGCCATGCATGATTTCTATTTCAAAGACAATTATATTTTGAAACACTGTTTTTTGCAAGCAATTCACATCGCCATAGAGGCCAAAGAACCTCAAGTTGCCGGCAAGCTACAGTTTGGCTGTATCTGCTCTTTGTGAACTTCAGTAGTCATTTGGAGTTATTACCAGTATTTGTGTCAAAGATACATATTGAAGAAACTGCACATTAAGTTAGAAATGCTCCAATCAAGCATTATATGATAGTTCCTTTATATGAACTTGATATATGTAGTAGATGATAGTTGTCTAAATATGCTGATATGCAAGCATTCCTCTAGGCTCTAGAATAGAATAGTCTCTTTTCTTAACTCTGTTTTATGCTTCTCGTTTTTTTTTAAGAAAGTCCAGTTCTCTTTGATCATCTGCACCTTCTGAAAAGTAGTCTCAAAATAGTTTTGTGAAAGCCAATGTTGTCACCAAAATATATTAATGTGGGAACCAGTTAAGTGCACACAAGACATACGTGCAGATTTCCACCTTTCAAATTCAATGGTGATTTTTCTTATTAATGCTTGTTTTTGCATTGAATACATAAAATTAGCAAATCAAAGATTTGTGTTTGGCATAGATATGTTATGCAGATTTCTGTTTCTGATGAAGAGGGATCTGTACCTGCTTGCCTTTGAAATTGTTCAAATTCTTGACTAAATCTGTGCCAAATACAAGGTTGTTGCTTTCCTAATTTCATTTTTCACTTTGATATCTTTCTCTTCTGTTTTGATTGAATATGTTGCTACGAAATGTCAAGGCACGGTGAGATTGCTTCACGCGCTTGACAAAGCAGTTTTAGGGTTGCCATAAAATGGCAAGGGAAGGCAGGGTTGCCACATCTGGCAAGAAATCGTCCATCTGGCGACAAAATTGGCGATATGCCATGGACGGATGGAGAACCTTCTGGAACGAATTCTTACCGGTTTTGCCCAGAATGTTTTTGAACAAAAGCCAAAAACTATATAAACCCTGCTGGTCAGCAGTCAGTGTGTGTGTGTGCCTCGTCTAGCAAGCTGATAGTCAGTCATTGAGCAAGTGTCTCGAAGTCTAGCACCGAGTTGGTCCTCGAGTGTATCGAGAGAGTCTTTTTAGTGCATCGTGAATTAGTGCATCGCCGAGTTTTATCTTAGACTATGAGTTTTATCTTAGGCTGAGTCGAGAGCTATACTCTTGTGTATCGTCAAGTGCATCGCAAATTGTAGCGTGGAGAGTCTCGAGAGTACGTGGAGTTCCGAGAACGACCAAGCAGAGTGAAGAGCTGTACTCTAGTGCTTTGCCGTGAAGCTGTCTCCACCGTGATAGCCTGATAACATGAAGGCTGTGTCGCTGATCATGTCAGCGTGTTTATAGTAGTTCATCGATGACTGTAAAACGTGTTTTGGAGGTGTCCTGACAATACTGGTAAATAAAGTGTGTTTTGATACTTCATCAAGAGTCATGTTATTCACTCCAAATCTATGAACCCCATACGAACGTGAAGGAAGACAATAACGTAACAACTGGAATTTGGTAAAGTTTTCTCTGCGTTAGGAAAGTAAAGCATTCCTGTTACACTTTTCATAAACAAATATGGCAGGAAGCGAAAAAAAAAATACTTTTCCATGTATTAGCATTCAAAATTGGTGACATTTTTTGATTGGTGCAGATGCCTAACATACTGGAAGTCCTTTAGGCAAACATGTTTTCTTTTACAATTAATTATTTAAGGTACTGTAGCATGGTATTAAAGAATATTGTTTTGCTTTTAAAAAATACTGTATAGAATCTCAAGAAAGATGCAGCATACTATTTTTAATAAAATTTGTAAATTCTTTCCGAGAATGCTTCAGGAAGTAATATATTGTGTCAGAAGTGGGATTAAAAAAAGCGCAACAACTGGGGACAGGAGTGGGGTTTGCGAGTGAATGCCAGTGACTCGTCTGCAGAGGAAAACCATGGCAGAGGAAATGATAACTTTGATGGACTTTTTAGCTGAGATGAAGGCAAAAATGAAAGCCAGACTGGCTGAGATAAAAGCTGGATATAAAGAGATGACAGCTGAGATCAAAGCTGGACTGAAAGAAATGCAAGCCTGACTGGAAGAGAAGAAAGCCAGATGAGAAAAATTAATGTCGGCCAAGAAAAGTTGTGAGAGCAACTCCAACAGGTGAAAGTGGAGCTTACAGAAGAAACTGGAGCCATAAAAGACGATATGGAAGTGATAGAAATGGTATCTGAAGAATCAAAGAATGAAGAAATGAAGGAAGTAGCTAATGAACTGTCTGAGGAAGATCAAGAAATTAGAGGTGAAACAACTAACGGGATTAAAGAAAAAGAACGAAAACATGAAGAAAGACGAGAAAGAAGTTCCTGATTCTCAAATGCTTGAAGTAGAGATGGAAGAACGTGAAAATGCAACAGTAAAGTTGGTAGAAACTGCTAGTGAAGTTATGAAGTTGCAGTTAGCAAGTATTGAACCATCTGAAAATGCATGTGATGCAGAGATGAGAGAAGTTGATGTGCAGCTTAAGCAGTGTGCTCCAGTATTGCTTGAAAATTCACCCACTTTGCAAACTATGTGTGCGTCTCGTAGTGCAGATTTTGCAGACGACTTGATTCTATACCCAAATACTTCTGCTTGTAAAGGATCGGGTTCTATTCGCGACCCTGGTGCAGACATCGGAACTGGCTCCCTGGAAACGGAGGAAAATAAGCATGTATTGATTGCTAAAAATACCGAGGTGAACTGTATGCCTGCTGAGAATGAATCACAGATTGGTTTGGTGACCAAACTGTTTCAGATCTTCCTGTGGATGAAAAGTCTGAAAGGACTATATCTTCAGACTGTGATATGCAAAACAGAAATGCATCTGTGAACTGCAGTGCAAACGTATTTGACCCGTAAAAAACCTATTTAGTGAATAGACTGAGACTGAAATTCATTCAGAACTTTAATTTGTATAATTTAAAATTGTTACGTGTTTAGTTTGTGTATGTAACTTGTACATAGTGTAAGTATCCGTTTCTTTAGTTGTTAATTCCTTATGTTTGTTTCATTACATTTTGTTTGTATTGATTATGCTTCTGACCAAGTGTTGTACTGCCCGGGACGTGCAGTCTTTGGGAGGGGGCAGTATTACGAAATGTCAAGGCGCAATGAGATGGCTTCCCCGCAAAGCAGTTTTAGGGTTGCCATAAAATGGCAAGGGAAGGCAGGGTTGCTGCATTTGGCGACAAAATTGGCAATATGCCATGGAAGGATGGAGAACCTTCTGGAACGAATTCTTACCGGTTTTGCCCAGAATGTTTTTGAACAAAAGCCAAAAACTATATAAACCCTGCTGGTCAGCAGTCAGTGTGTGTGTGTGCCTCGTCTAGCAAGCTGATAGTCAGTCATTGAGCAAGTGTCTCGAAGTCTAGCGCCGAGTTGGTCGTCGAGGGCATCGAGAGAGAGTCTTTTAGTGCATTGTGAATTAGTGCATCACCGAGTTTTGTCTTAACTGCGCTGAGTCGAGAGCTATACTCTTGTGTTTCGTCAAGTGCATCGCAAATTGTAGCGTGGAGAGTCTCGAGAGTACGTGGAGTTCCGAGAATGACTAAGCAAAGTGAAGAGCTGTACTCTAGTGCTTTGACGTGAAGCTGTCTCCACCGTGATAGCCTGATAACCTGAAGGCTGTGTCGCTAATCATGTCAGCGTGTTTATAGTAGTTCATCAACGACTGTAAAACGTGTTTTGGAGCAGTCCTGACAATGCTGGTAAATAAGGTGTGTTTTGATACTTCATCAAGTGTCGTGTTATTCACTCCAAATCTACGAACTCCATACAAACGTGAAGGAAGAAAATAACGTAACAATATGTTTCTTCATATAATAAATCACAATGGGACTGTGGAGTTTGCCAGTTGATGAGAAAGAAAGCTTCGCATTTCATCAGAAATACAGTCAAAAGTCGTTAATCCGGACTCGTTGGGACTTTGGCGATTCCGGATTATAGATCATCAGTTTAAATCTCGTAAGATGGCAGGCACAAATTCTAAAATTAAAAATATGAAACCGTAATTTATGAAATAAAGAACAATTATTATCTAAAGGGTATCAAAATTTACAAAAAAAGAAGCTTAATATTTATTTGTTTACTTTATTAAACATTTCTTTCAATGTAAGTTGTTTCGTTTTATGTGATAATACTTTCTCTTTAATTCTATAAAGAGACATGATTTCTTGTTCAGTTACAAGTCCCGTAATTGCTGTGCCGAGAATACCGACTAACTTGTCAATCGAAATTTTTTCGTTTTCACTAACCTCTCTGTCACCTTCTTCATGTCTTTATCCATTTTTTACAGCAATTCCACTTTTTGTTTGACGGACATCGATACATACTTTCGTTTTGTAGATCCTTTGGGAGCTCCAGAATCGGAAATTGACATAATCGAAAGTTCAAGTTTACTTTTATAAAATTGCTCTTACAGTCTACAAAAAATAATAAGCCGCATCCAATTCGAAGATTAAGGAACAACGCAATCATCAACATTAACTGAAATAGATAATTATATAATTTTAGCTTGCACCGCCCATTATACATTAAACGCGCACGCGAAAACGTATTCTGCACTTGCGCACACGCATATGCGCGTGCGCGTAAGACCTTTACGTGCACGCGCATATGCGTGTGCGCATTTGTCAATGCGGCGCATGCGCAGAAAGTTTTTAGCTTTGAGGTCCGGATTATAGATCATTCCAGATTATGGGTGTCCGAATTAACGACTTTTGACTGTATTGCATTTTGTCAAACAGTAGAAAATGTAAAAATTTCTTGTACTTATTTCTCGAACAATCATGTTTTATAGAAATTTAATGTGAAAAATTACAAGCAAAGTGTTAGAATGTGGGTTGGAAATTGGTTTGAAGATAGCAGTGTCTTGTTTACAAGAGCTATTCACTTAATTTATTGTTGGACAAAAGAATATACATCCATGAAGTTGAAGTTTTATGAACAGTAACTGAAATGCTGAAAATTTGAAATTAACATCCACAATATTGAATTTACACAATTCTCTAATGTTTTTTTAAGCTGAAACCTATTGCTATGCACATGAGGGAAAGCAGCACCATGTGCCATATTTGAATTCGATGCCGGATTTATGTAATTGTCTGATGTTTTAATGAGCAGAGGAACAACACAAAATATAATTATGTTGTGTAAAAGTGTTTGTCTTTTATCTAAGAAGTCTGGTTTGCTTTTTGCATTTTCAAGACATCTTTTGAGATTGCTATGTTTTTTTTTTTTGATAAAGTTTTCTTTGCGTTAGGAAAGTAAAGCATTCCTGTTACACTTTTCATAAACAAATATGGCAGGAAGCGAAAAAAAAAATACTTTTCCATGTATTAGCATCTCAAAATTGGTGACATTTTTGATTGGTGCAGATGCCTAACATACTGGAAGTCCTTTAGGCAAACATGTTTTCTTTACAATTAATTATTTAAGGTACTGTAGCATGGTATTAAAGAATATTGTTTTGCTTTTAAAAAAATACTGTATAGAATCTCAAGAAAGATGCAGCATACTATTTTTAATAAAATTTGTAAATTCTTTCCGAGGATGCTTCAGGAAGTAATATACCTATTATTTAGCATATGAGTAATATTAGTAATATGAGATGGTCAAGGTAAGTCAAAATTGTTGTAAAATTAAAATCATGCGTCTTGAAACAAAATGAACTGAAAAATATCAATATTTATAGATTTTTTAACTTTTTTAATCTCCCAAAACAATGCAGAACAAACATACTATCAAATTACTTTTGTCAGTCACAGATTTGTATGAAGCTCAATATCTGGCAGGTTGTTGGCATTTGAAATTGTTGTCGATCTCAAATTCTAATTTGAAATTGATAATAGTGAAACCTAAATTGCAAATTTTATTTCTCCTAAATTCAAGAGAGATCAAGGCTGTTAAATAATGTCAACTGCATTCAGCATTTCATCTTAAATGCAGCATGCTAGCTTCAAAAGAATTTGAATAGTTTTGTCTTTGTGTGAGAAGAATGATTTACTGTTACAACAATGATGTATGTTGTAACAGTATTAATATTCTTAGCTGCCTGACCACTTTTATCTAGTCAGATTTGCTGCATTTGGTATAGGTTACCTTATTATATAAATATTTTGTGTTTCTTATTATCTTTAATAATCTGAACTTGATCCTTAAAAATGAGTATTAAGAAATCAAACAGTAAAATAAGTAATTAGGCAAATTTACTTAATAAGTTCCAATTAAATAGATCTTTTCATAAGAAAATCCAAAAAGCTGTGCAGCTGTTTTATGTCTGATTATATAACTTCATGAGGTATGTTAGTGTTTGATCTGGCCTTTTTCTGTTTTATCCTCTTGCTATGACATGTGATCTTTTTGCATTTTGCATATGCTTATAGTGTTAAGATAATATCTCAGTGTTGCTTTCATTGTCTTTTTAGTTGTATTGTTTCATTATCTTTTTAAGCAGCAGAGTACTTAAAATTATTTTTGAGCGGTTTGTTTTGTAGATTTGTTACTGAAAGTACCATTAGCATAGGAAAATATTTTAAGAAAAATTTGAATATTGTAGTAAAATTATTTGCACATAAGCAATTTGAAACCGATACACTTTCTTCCCTTGTTCTTTTTTTTTAATAGAGGAAATTTTGAATTCCATTCAAAAAGAATTAAGAGATTTACAGAAGTTACATGATTCATCTCAACTTGAATTTGTAAGTATTACTAAGGATATAATTCTTTCTTACTATGCACCTTTATTATAATTTTTTATGGGTCTAATAAAAAAATATATCATACAATGTGTTACAAACACATTGAGAAAAGAAATATATGAAATAAGAATATATTAAAAAGGTTTAATAATCATGTACAGACAAATAATAAAGCCTAGAATAAATTCAATTTATTTATATTTAAAAAATTAGAGTCATGCTAAAAGTAATGTAGAAGTTAGTCTATTCTTTTCATTAATTGCCATTAGTTCATCAGTGTATTATATATATTGCAGTGATTCTTCTCTTACAAGTATATTTATATACTCTTACAATTAATAATTTTATTCATTGCAAGTAAATAATGGATACAAAGTAAAGCAATACATCATCGTTGAGTACCTGACAGAGGAAAGATGCAATCTCCCTAACAAAGAAGATTGAATAGTGTTTATAGAAACAATATCATTGTCAAGAACATTGTGCACAAATTTATAAAGGAATTTGAAGATGGGGAAAATCTGTCCTGAAGTTACTTCATACAGCAGGAGGCGAGCAATTGCAACCAGAGACACAAACCTTCAACCAATTCGTGAAAAGTTTCCAGTTGACTGTCCATCAGCTTTCTGTTCTAGGGGGCTGTAATCATAATGCAGTAGAAAATATGATAGAATAACCCAATTATCATAAAAGGAAAAAGAATTACTGTGTTATACTAGAAACTTTTGAAGACAATAAATATGTATATATATTTTTGATAAATAGACAGGGAATAGTACTGTTTGACATAAACATAAAAAATCCTCTGTTGTTTTTGATAAACACTGTCTATATTTGCAGTCATAAATTCAGTTTTTATAGCCTCTTCTGGTCTGGCTAGTTTTTTTTGCTTTTTCAAAACATCTATTGAGATCGCTATTCTGTTCTTTTTTTGCTATAAGTTTTCTATATTTTATGAAAGTAAAACATTCCTGTTATAACCAATATGGCATAAAGTGGGAAAGAAAACTGTTATGGAAAACAATTTAAGTATCCTCAGAAAGTTGCAGGAGACGATAATGAAGAAGAGACTTGAACTCTGTATTTGTTGTTACCACATTTATTATTATTATTATTATTATTATTATTATTTTTTGTATCTACCTTCTTAGTGTCAAATCTTGAGTTTTATCATGTGTACCAACTGGTAGGACAGGTTTTTCTCTGTCATGCAATTCTTTTTAGGCAATTAAAATATCTAACAAAATTGCCCTAAACATGCATACTTTTTCAGAATGATTTTTCTTCAGTTATTTCATATAACAATTGCTTAACCCTATTTTGTTTTTTCATCTCTTTTTATAAAAGCAAAAATTCTCTTCTGAATTTTTTCATAAACCAAAAATGATACTAATGCAGGGTCATCAAAGCAAACTTTTTGCAAAGTGGAAGATGGCTATGTTTTTAAATGGCGAGGCAAATTTTGTGGTCAAGAGATGCATATTGAAAACACAACAAAATTCCTGTGATACTCTTGTGAGGTATTCATTATCTTTTACTTTTTTTTTACCATAGGCGTTATGACTAAATGTATCTTTTTCAATGTTGATTTCAATAAGAGAATTTCCAGGAAAATGTTGCTCTTTTATCAGGTTCATTTAAAAAAGCAATTGATTAAAAAAAGAGAAAGGGGGAAAGGATTACAAAATCAAACTAAAATATTGAAAATGATTTGTCAATACTTTATTTTCTAATTACTAAAACTCTATCTTTAATGTTGTATTTATATATTTTTAGCAGTTCTCCTGTTTGATCAAAATAGTATAATATAATTCATTTTTTAATCCATTGATCAATTTAATATTTGAACTGTATTTTATAAGTTTCTTTCTGTGCTGCATAAATGTATTCTCATTTTACTAAAACAGGTGGGGGGTTATACTGTTTGATGTTTTTAGTAAGGAAACTGCATTATAAAAATTATGTTTTAATCTTACAACACAACTATTAAATTTTTTCACTGAATTTAAATTGATAGCTAAAATATTATTTAATCTAAATTAAAAAATGTGCTGGTGAATGGGGAACAATTTATTTTATGATAAAATTATATTTTTATTACTTTATAGAGTGAAATATCTATTCTCGCCATATATGTGTTACTGATTTTATCATTTTAATCTTATTAGCAAGCATCAAAAAGAGATAATGAACTGCTTAAGAAAGAGAAGCAGAATTTAACTGAACAACTGGAAAAAAGGCGGGATGAAATTGAAAAGTTGAATGGTATGAAAATGAGTAGTATTTTTTTATAGTATATATTTACGTCAGTAATAAAGGTATATCTATTACAAATCATTTCTGTAATATGAACTGCATGTTTCCTTTCCTGAAATGTACAGATATATACCGTACAAAAAACGAAATCCAGACTCATCGGGACTTTGGCAATTCCGGATTTGGGATTTTTCCGAATATTAGATCATCAGTTTAAATCTAATAAGATGGCATGTAGAAATTATAAAAAATATGAAATCATGATTTATAAAATAATGAAGCATTTTATTATCTAAAGTGTATCAAAATTTTTTAAAAAAGCTTAATATTTATTTGTTTACCTTATTAAACATTTCTTTCGATGTAAGTTGTTTAAGTTGCTTCATTTTGTGTGCTAATGCTTTCTCTTTAATTCTGTAGACAGACATAATCTTTTGTTCAGTTACATTGTTTAAGTCCTGTAACTGCTGTTTCGAGAATTCCGACTTATTTGTCAATCTAAATTTTTCTCATTTTTCAGTAACATCTCTGTCAGTTTCTCCACTATCGGTAGCGGTATTTTCTAGATCTAGAACCCTACTACAGATTTCACCATTCATTAACCCTCAGCTGGAGTATGGTACAGTTTAGAGGAGCGGTGTATGAAGTACGCCAGGTCGTTTTTCAAGCCTCTGCTTCGTGTTTGAAACTATTTAATCTTATACATTGCATTAATAAGGTGATTCTTCATAGTAAAAAGAATATAAGAAAAACAATAACAGAAAAAAAGCAGTAAAGATGGAAATTATGAATTTTTAATTAATTAAAAAAATGGAATGCACTGGAATTGTAATTTAAATTTATATAGTACTCTATGTTATTTTCTGTATGAAAATTATAAGATCATAAATCAAATTTACAAATTATAAATATTCTGTAAAGAAAAGTTCGCTAAGTAATAAATTTCACAAATGTAAAAATTAAAAACCTTTCCCTACTTTAATCCTCTTCAGATTGTCCCTGTTCACTGCAGCAGGGTTTGCAAAGTTGTACTGTCTTGCCCAGATGATTTTTGCAGGTAAACTTAGAGCTATCAGAGCATTTTATGGTAGTGAAATTATTCTTCATTCTACCGCATTCAGCGCAACGTCCTTTAATCTTTTTTGCAGGTTTCTTTATTTTTTGCAGATTTTTCTTCATCCTGTTCGGCTGTCTTGTCCGCTTCTGTTGTTACCAGCCTTTTAATAAAACTTTGGAATGCGACAGGAGAAATGTCATTTTTAGATGATTCTGAAGATGTGGTTTCATCAAAGATGTAGTTAGATTCTTCAAAAAATGTCTTCTAAACTTGATGGTTGCATCAGGTTTGACAAAGTTCAAGAGCACTTGCGAATTTATGCATTGCGTTTAGCAGTGCAAAAAATATTGCCATTGTCCACTTCTTGGTTTTTCGGGCGACAGTGAAATTATTACAAAGTTGGTCTACGGTGTCAACTTCGCCTTTACATTTGTTACAGTCCAGGACTATGTGGGGTTTATTCGTTTCCTGGTCAATTTTGTCATCATCATGTAAAGTACTGAGCAGTACTACACACTTATTTTTTTCGTTGCATATGAAACAATTGTCATATCCTTTTGAAAACCAAACAGTGAACTTCCGACTTCTCTTGTTTTTGATGGCTGGGATTCATTTGGAATTTCCTTTTTATTTTTTTTTTCAGCGTACCTCTGGTAAGAAGATATTGAGCAGTTAACTTGTATACCAATTATCGGTCGTCAGGTTACGGAATCTTCATACGCACCAGTTAGCCTTTTGACAATGTCAATACTTGAATTAGAAGCCTCGTAAGGTCCTGGGGGTTGATTGTCGGAGTAAATTTCAAGCTTCAATGCATAAAATGCAAGTCAACAACTGCAAAAATTTTCAGACCATACTTTGCGGGCTTGTTGGGGATGAATTGAATAAAAGAGCATCTCCTGCAAAAGGGTTCCAGCTTCTCGTCGATTGTGATTTCATCACCTGGTGTATAAAAGTTTTGACAGTTCTGATTGAAAGATTCAAAAAATTCTCTTAGTGCTTATCAGTTTTCTTCGCACATACCTTGTGCCTTTATCGTCGAATCTAATAGCAGCACACAGGTTTCTGAATCGCTTGAGACCCATGATCCCTTGCAAAATTTCAGTACCATCTTTTGCCCATGCTTCCTCCAAATTGAGTTTTGACATTCTTATTTGCACCCTAATAAGAATAAAATTCCTAAAAAGGCCAATATTTTTCCTCTATTAGTATCATACATGCTTCTTTTTGAGATGTTTTGGAGATAATCTGCAGTCCTGTTACATTTGAGATAAATATTTGTGTATTTTATGATAGCATCAATCATATTTGTGTTTATAATTTTCTGGAAAGCGAGAAACCTCATCATTTATATTGTCACAAGTTTTGGCACTTGGAATATTTTTTTCATCAAATTTTTTCGAGGCATTCTGGCGAATTTGCTCTCTGGGAGGATTTTTATTCCACTTATAAGTTTCCTTTTCTTCTCTCAGAAACTTTCCTCTAACTTTCTTCTTTTTGTAAATTGTTTTTACAAAAAGTCCTCGTATTTTAAATCACTTATGTCATTTTCAACATCACTAAAATTCTCATTTGTTGGGGAAACATCATTGAGGAAGGAAAATGAGGATGTTTGGAAACATTTCCTTCAATTTCTAAGTCATTTTCATGATCAGAATGTTCAATGACTTTCAATTCACTGACATCAGATGCGTTATCCAAATTGGAGACCAAGACTTCTTCTAACCCAAGATTTCTGCTAAAACGTGCAAATAATCTTCAGGAGGTACAATATTCTTTCTGTACATACTTGGAAGAGCGGTGTGCTGCGTTTGCCTAAGCGACATGTTCACAATAACTGCTTTCAGAAGGAAGGCAACCAAACTGACCAGAAATACCAGATGCATTGCACTCATGAAATGTTTCTAGGAGGGTAGAGGAAGGGAGGGAGCTCAGGAAGGGGTTGTCTAAAAATTACAGCACAAAAGATGGCATTGGCGTACTCTGTATGCCGGTTCCTCCATTGCAGGGTTAATTGATTGATGATTGAGAAGCATCGTGATCACAATGAAAAACTTTTTATATCATCTTCCATTATTACCGCTTGACACAAATCCAATTCTTCTTACTCTTGTAAAACGCATCAAACATAATGCACCAAATAAGTGGGCGATTCTGCACTTCATCCCTTATGTCTATTTCATGCACATGCTTAAGGCTTATCAGAGTTCTAAATAAATAAATTCCCACATATATTTAAGCCTTATGAGGGCTGGCGCTAGATATCTTACCACCTGATGCAGTCTCTGTGGGTCCTAAATTCTGCGACTCGATTCTGCCATATGAGGCCTGGTGCTGGTTCTGGGTTTATGTGAATAACAAAATCAGTTATTCATAATTCAAATATCCCTAAATGTAAGCTTTGGGTCCATGAGTATCATCAACAAAATCTATTTTTATATGGAAAGAAATTTTTGGTAAATGTTTCCTCATCAACATTTTTTAGCGCATTTAACTTAAATCTGTAATCATCGCCAAGCGTAATGTCAACATAAAAGGTTACCATACTCCTTTATTATTCAATTACTAACATAAAAAAATTGTTTAGGTATTGCTGCATGAGTCATTACTCAAGTTGTCATGTTTTGATAAACATGCAGTGATGAAAGGAAAGTATAATAAATAATGATTCACCAGGTTGGTGTCAGTTCAACAATGTATCTATGTGGAATTTTTCGGTTTGAGATGTGTGCCAAAGCAGATACACAGCAACGGAGCCAAATCACTGATCATACAAATTTATGCTAAAATGATTGTTTCTTTAATAACAAGGCATCTTCACATGATGAGTTACAAGGCCTAACTAACTGCTTTAGCATGTGAGCGCCACCTGTAGTAATACTTCATAACATACTGCCCTGCGATGAACAATTGTTCAAGCTTGTGATGAACAATTGTTTATCACAAGTTTCAAATTTAGAATTATTTTAATACAATATTCAATACTAACAAGATTTTCAACAATATTACATGACAAGTTAAAGTTAAAATATAAATTTCAAAATCGCCATAAGCTGAAAGAGAAAATTATTAAAATATTTATTATACTTGGACACAAAACATTACTATGAAATTAAAATGAAACTAAAATACAAATACAATGAAAATAAGAATATGAAAATTATACAAATACAAATACAATGAAAATAAGAATATATGAAAATAAGAATAAAATTTTTAGAGTTATTGTTGATAGGATGTTTAATTACACTATTGATAGTTTTAAAGTGATTTTTCATTTGCTTATTGCCATTCTCTCGAAGACCCTCGAAATGTGGGGCGGAGGGAGCATTGAATTTCCGAACAATGTTTTCTTGTGTTAACTGGTTTTGGAACTTTTCTGATGATAAAATGGATGCAATTATTCTTTTTAGTTCATGATTTGCACCAACAAAGTTAGTCCCTTGATCAGAAAACATCTCTTACAGTTTGCCCCAACGATCTACGAACCTTCTTAATGTGGCTAAAAAGGCTTCTGAAGAGAGATCATTCACAACCTCCAAGTGTACTGCTTTCATGGCAAAACATATGAACAGGCATACATAACACTTGATAGTCTTCACTCCTTTTCCATTGCGGGGTTTCACAAGGAATAATAATGCATAATCAAGGCCTACTTTAGAAAAAACTCTGCTTGGCACAACTCTAGATGCTGGAAGATCACCCATTATTTGCGATGCAGTATTTGTATGATTTCTAAAGCATTTCATGCAGTATCTAATAAGTTTGTTCACTGCATCTCTACAGTTAATTATCCAATATTTCTGTTGGATAGCCGAAATTGTAAGTGAAGTTCCTCTATGAAGATAAGTTTTATGAAAATGTTTAACTATTAATTCAGTCACGTGATGCTTCTTAGGAAAAATTACCTGGTGCTTTTGATTTTCAGGTATATTAGCATTCCTTAGCCTTC